ATCTTAGGCCCACACAGGGCTTCCATCAAACAACAACCCTGATGTTCTCCTGTGCCAGTTCATTACATATACTACTGAAAGGGTTTGGCTGATTGAAATCCTGCTGTCGGCACGATGATGTCACTGTTAGATCTTTGAGCAAAGCCCTTAACCCTCTCTGCTCCTAGGACCCTGGCTGAGCGTGCTCTCTGACCCTTACTTGTATGCTACCTATGAAGGTCCTGTGATGTGCATTTGCTCTGCAGGCGTACCGGTATAGGAGAAATTGAAAGGAGTTAGAAGGGGCAGGTGTTTCTTGGGGGCGACGTGGGGGTGAGAGGGATACAGCAGGATCCCATCTGTTCCCAGCAGATTTTCCAGCTGGTTATGAAGCTGCTCCTTCTGCTGCACAATGAACTTGGAGGGGAGTGAACTCTGAGCCATCTCCACTATGGCCAGTCCTGGGACCAGAGAGATGTGTGATTGTTTTATACACAAATACATATGTTTTGGATTTGGATCTTTGTGAGCTTCTACAGCTCTGGAAAAAATTTAGAGACCACTGTATATTTTTTTTTAATCTGCATTTTTAAAATCCTGGTTTAACCCTGGTTCTGCTGGCAGAGGCTACACTGTGAGGCAGCTGCTTCCGGGATCAAAGTTTCTAAGACAGCAGGACACAGGAATAAGGTGAAGCAGGACACACTGGCAATAACAAAAATCCAGCCAGTTAGAGGGCAGAAGCAACTTTCTAATGCCAGAGATGACCATTAAATTATCCAACATTGCCTCATAAATCAGAGGATGACCTCAAGTGACCGTCAAAAGGAATGGGAAATATTAAGTGCAGGTGTGAAGTGCATTGCTAGGACAGTTTGTATCAGGCCCCTAGAAGCAGGACTGAAGTCTCATAAAGCAAGGAAGAAGCCCTTCATCAATGAGAAGTAGGGAAGAGCCAGGCTGAAGTTTGCACAAGGTGCATTCCCATAAATTGAGAAATGAGTGAAACTGAAAATTTTGCTGTGGTCTCTTAATTTTTTCCAGAGCTGTAATTTAGTGTTTATTGGTGTCTGTGGTCTGTAGCTACCAATGGCCGGGAAGGTGTGAGATGACTGTCCCACCACCCACTTGGCCAGCTCCCACAAAGGCCACACCTTCCGCTGCTCAGTCCCCATCAGGTCTGCAAAGCTTCTGGCTGGCTGTAATGGAGCAGATCCCTCATTGCTACATACCATGCAGAACTGACTGCATTGTGAAAGACAGACTGTGAGTACTGAGACACACCTTTCCATCTCTGCCCGGAGAAGCCATGAAGGCCCCCCAAATCTGGGTTGAGCATTTGAACTGAGGAATATGCAGCTCTTGAACTCTAACCCCCAGATCAGTTTCCAGAGTCTCTACCACCTGGCAGAAAACAGGTACTTTTTATACCACAAGTTAAACTTAGCAGACTCAAAAAATAACCCTTAACACACCCATCTAAACCCCTCTACCACCTGACCTCTGACCTTTCTCTGGGCTTGAATAAGCTGCTTGTCGACTGGTGACACCAAAGGGGAGCCTCCACAGTGAGGGACAGAGAAGTAGCGGAGTTTCTTGAGGTCCACCTCTGATGTCAATGACAGCCTGGAGATGGGACAAGACAGCCTTCGCAGACAGAGAGATGCAGCCCATAGATATACAGAAGTACTCAGCACTGACACAGTCATGGAGTGAGAGGAAGGAGACTCATCACAGAGACACAGATAAAGAGGGGAGGGAAACTCATCACAGGGTCACAGAGAGAGGGGAGGGAAACTCAATCACAGAGTCACAGAGAGAGGGGAGGGAAACTCATCACAGAGTCAGAGAGAGAGGGGAGGGAAACTCATCACAGAGTCAGAGAGAGAGGGGAGGG